GTTAGGGTCTTATGGTTAAGAAACTAAACGGAAAAACCTTTTTATTTACGGTGATAAAGCGATGCAAGTCGAAATATGCATTACCAGGCCGTAAATTCTCTTAGGAAATCAACGAATATTTTCCAATGTTGAAAGCGAGCTTACTTGCGAAAAGAAGAAAAGAAAATACAATCGGCCTCCCCTTAAAAAAAAAAAAAAAAAAAAAAAAAAAAAAAAAAAAAAAAAAAAAAAAAAAAATTTTATAAATCTCGTACACGTAATTTAGGAAAATATGTATAACCTTAAAAATTTTCTTATACATCCTGATGCTTTACAAAACCTACAAACTCTTCACTGAAAAACGATGCTCTTACTTTTGGAGTGAAATGTTTAATAAATATATAATCTCACTAATGTCGTCAAATCAATGTCCAGTCACCTCGAGTGTGCTTAGAAAATCTGCTGACAATCGTTCGAGAGCAAAAGCAATAAAATAGATTGTCCATTAAAATTTCAATTAACCGTCAAGTACTTTGCATTATCGAAGAGGGCCGGCTAACAAGACCAACGATTATTTTCTCCGACTAGAGTAAAAAAATAGTCTCGATACTATCGTTTTAGTTGTCGCGGTCTAAACTCTAAAATTGACTAAAACTTGCGCCTTACGCAAGTAATCGTAAGTGCGCGACGACTAATAATGGGGTGGGGTGGGGGGGTGGAGATTGGAGGTGGTGGAGGTTGGAGGAGGTGGAGGTTGGGAGTTGTGGGGGGGGGGGGGGGGGGGCGAGAAATTCGCCACAAATTCAAGAATTTAAGACCACAAATTCGAGAATCTAACGAATTCCTTCGCGGCTTCACAATTTCACTCCAAAACTCCCGTCGAGCTGGTATTAATAATACGTATTATTGCTTGGGAAAGTGATATTTCGTTTACTTTCAATAGTCATCGTTGAGCTACTTGATGATTTAGCGGAAACGGCCATTTCCTTCCGAAGGAGCTTAACCATTGACTGACCCGAGCGTACGCGACAAATTCGCTATTTATCGAGCGAATGGACGATCGAGTTGCAGCCATTGGACACTCAATAAACTCCTTGGAACGAAATTTTCATATTGAGGGGTGGGTGGGAGGAGACAGCGAAGAGGGCTCGTGACTACGTTGGAGCGGGTGTTAATACGGGACTCGGGACCGACTTGCCGTTCGCTAAAAATTCTGGCTCGAGCCGACAACGCCTTATATGTACAGTGCAACTCATCTCGAATCGGTTAAACATCCGTTCCAACTCGGGGCGAGACAATTTAACAATGAATTCGTTTAGCCGGTACGATCATCGTACCGAGCAGATACAAAACATAAACAATTGCATTAAAATCTGGGCCTGATCGGACCCTGCTTGAGGTTAAGTAAAATTTACTTAAATTTAAGTCTATCTAGTAGTGGTGAGCCGCTGGGTTTAGTAAGGGATTATACTAAACTCGCGCGAGCCGATTGCCCGGTGCAGACGTTGATCGGTGAGAGGTTGACGAGGATGCCCCGTTAAAGTAGGGGGGGCTGCTTGGATCGTTCGGCGGTACCGGGCTTGGTTCCGCTGCTCGCCGGGGCTCGGGATGCCGCGCCCTCTTCAGCGACGACGCGTGCTGGATGAATCCCGGCGCGCCGGGAGCTTCGCCGCGAGTTCCGCCGGCCGAGGCTTCACCGGGACATTGGCGGTGGCGATGGCGGTGGCGGTGACGATGGCGGAGGCGGAGGTGGAGGTGGAGGCGGAGGCGAAGGCGGAGGCGGCGACGAGCCGGCGGAAGACGCGCTGCTCAGCTCGCGCGCGCCCAGGACTTCAGCTCGAGGCAGAGGGCGTCTTGGGCGGCTGGAAAGGGCTCCACTTGAGGCACTCCGGATCGATTTCCTTGTAGACGGCGCCGCGCCGCTTCACCCTCTCCTTGTAGTCGTCGATCACGTCCTGCGATCATTGTCATTCGCTCCGGTCAGTTCTCTCTCTTTATTTAGCAACTTTTTAACACGCTCCTCCTCCCAAATCCCCAACCGCCAACTCCAATAACCCACATGTCACCCCCCCCCCCTCTGCTCTCTCTGCTCTCTCTGCTCTCTCTGCTCTCTCTCTCTCTCTCTCTATATATATATATATATACCGCTCGAAATGCTCACGAATGCTCCGAATTTCATTCGATTTATCACGTTGCGCTACTTTGATAACTTGCAAGCACTTTTGACGCGCACACTGCACCCCTTCCATTAACGTTTTCCGAATAATCGAGCAAAAAGCTACCGTCGATATTTCATAGGCTACTCTTTATTTACCCTTACCCGGCGGCGTGTCATTAGCTTTTACCGTAATGAATTTCGAATGTAATTTTAAATGTACGCGCGCGTGCATCCACGTGCATTCGAAATATCAAATCGAGTGCGTCCAAGTCGAAAAGTAATTGGAGACATTTTCAAGTATCCCCATCTCTACTCTCTACTCTCTACTCTCTACTCACTCACTACCCCCGCCGCCGCTCCGCCGCCCCGCCGCCCCGCCGCCCCGCCGCCCCGCCGCCCCGCCGCCCCAACCCGGCAATTAAGGGTTTCATTACAGGTGCGAATTCGGCGATATTATCGCGATTTCAAAATTATTATAAATTATAAATTCTTTGAGAATGCCTGACAATCTCAATTAACGCTGCGTCCCGCTCAAAAACATTAAAACTTATGTCTAGGCAGATTGAAAATTAATCGATAATATTCAATGTATCGCCGCGCGTCACCCCATTGAGTAATAATCCCCACGAATTTATAAAGCAAACATAAAATATTCAATGAAATATCGCGAACTAGGCGAGCGAGCGAATTTGAAGCTGTTTGGTCGATTAAATTAATTAAGCCAGATATATTAGTCAACTGCCAAACTAGCATTATGATATTATTGAAATACAATTTTCATTTGATGGGGATATTTTATATGGTTAGCTTACGAGGGATAATTAATGAGGGTGGAAAATTTGCAAAATGTATGTATTTTTATCGTGTGATTGAAGAGGGCGCGAAAGGACTGCCGTGTGGCATGCATTTCTGGCATCCAACAGAATGACGAATTTCATTGTTTGCAAGTATGCGCTCGCGATTAAAGCATTGGCTTAAGCATCTATTCGCGCCATTTTTAATCTGAGAAAGTTACGTAACGTTGCTTTTGCTTATATCGAGCGTCTAAATTTAAGAAAAAAGATAAAATCATTTCTACAGTCGTCGAATTGCTTTCAGCCCGAACATTCATTAGCACGATCCTTCTGGCCTTATTTAATTAGTAGGGAAAAAACAACAAAAAAAAAAAAAAAAAAAAAAAAAAAAAAAAAAAAAAAAAAAAAACAAAGACAACAAAAGACAACAAAAGAGAACAAAAAAAAAAGATAAAGAAAAAACCGCTTATTATGCTAATGCATTAAAGTAATATGCATATGGATGGTAAGAAATTTATAAACACACGTAATTGAGTACGTCCGTCGCGTAATTAATGTACGATTAATATGTTGAACAATTAATTGACAAATGCCAAACAGTAGATGATAAAATAAACGCGAATGTAGTATAATTCGATAAATGATCGATATTAATGATAATTTTATTTAATCAGATGTTTCGTTTCGATATTAGTTACCGCATTAACGGCATACTCCGGGCAGTAATTTTCGATAATGAAGTTAAATAAATGATGTAATATTAACGACGACTCGAATTAAAAACATTCCCCTCGAATAAATTTTAATTTAATACCAAGTTAATATGAAAAATTGATCAATTAGTTATTATTAAGAGGCCTTAAATTTTTTTTTCAATTAATAACGTAAATCTTACCACATTAAATACGTCCATAAGTGCCCGTCGTATATTGTTATTCTTGTTTTTAGGAGTTTAAATTATTATTGGCTGGCATGCAAATTACATTAAGATATATTTAATAGTAAGACAAATTAACAAGATTAATGACGAAAGGGAATACCTGTTTCTTAAGTATGATGTGCTTTCCCTTCCAATACTTCATCATTCCCAGGGCTTGTAGCGTACTCACTATATCCGATGAATCGATAGCCATTTCTTTGCTAATATCTAATAATATTGAAGATAATTAAACATAGTTTTATAATGAGCACGACAACAAAGAAAAGAAAATGAAAACCAAAAATACCGTCTAATGCAATCATCGCGTAGTTATTCCCGCTTAAAGTTTGGAAAACTAAAGCAAATGCCACATGTAATAACAACATGCTAATGTCTAACAAATTGGCATTGTACTATATTTTTTTATCTTTTCTTTTCTTTTCTTTTTGTTTTTTTTTAATAATATCAAGGCAAATAACGACGACGACGACGACCACGACGACGACGACGACGATAAAACGAAATAATAACAACAGCAACAGCGATAATAATGATAATTAATAAGGAATGACGATGATATTATAATAATAGTAATAGTAGTAATGATTAAGAGTATTAGGGACATCACGGATCTAGCGTATCGTATAGTTTGTAAATGCTTATTGTTGATGAAATAAAGTCGACGATATTAAGACGGGCGAAAGATAATTCTTGATTGAGTGAAATGATTGATTGACCATTTCGTAACATTCACCGAGATTTTCTCGTAAACTTAAGTCCCGCGATTATGGCTTATGCAACGCTGAATTTAGCTACGAAAAGCAATGGAAGGGCACGACGATATTCGACATAATCGACGGCGCGCGATAATGCACGCGCAAAAAAAGAAAAAAGAAGGAAAGCCGCGAGATTCGCGATATCGTGAATATTATTCGCAGCTCGTCGCCGAGAAATGGATAATAGAGTCGCTGAGGGAACGCAAGTTTGCGTTGATTCGACATACCCTTTACGGAAATCTCCTTGCCGCCAAAGTTGCAGAGATACTGCAGCAGCACATCCTTCCAGTAGCTGCGGTAGGAGATTAATCCGAGGTCCGAGAGGGGCTTTTCCGGTGAGCCTATTTTATTCTCGACCCTCGTAAGTAAGTAGCCTGTAAAAGAATATTGTAGGGGCTGATTATATCGGTAGGTAGAACATAAGAATTAGTTTTTATTTTAATATTAATTTTGATTGGGCCAGGAAAGTAAGATCTCTTCCCTCCCCTCGATAATGCAATTAGCAACAATTCGATGATGTATATTGATGGAGTAAGGTCCTTGGGGGAATAATTTACGAATAATTCACGAGGCGATGTGCAGTAAAGATGGGAGGATTTACGAGACTCCGTATTGGCCAGCCGATGGATCGTTATTTTTCCAATCGAATGACATCTTATTATTATTGCTGTGAATATAATATTGGCATCTCTATAAATAACATTATCATTAGGTTGCTTTAACGATTATTCGGATCGAGCATTTTCTTTGGCGTAATTAAAAATTATAGTAAAAGCTAATATCGTTATCGTCATTTATTTTATTGGGCTTTCACGATATCGTCGATTATTCGCATTAATCACTTATCGAATCGGAACTACAAAGAATTAAAGACTAATGGAGGTCAAGCATCCGGGGATGCTTGCTTTACATTTTTCTTTTCCTTTCTTTCGTTTTTTTTTTTTTTGTCCCTCTTCGTACGTATAATCGTCGCGATATAAAGGTGCGCCTAACAATTACTACGAAAATCATTATTACATCGGCTATCCTGTTCGTTCGTACTAAACTAACGACGCGCAAAACCAACTTAGTCGCTTATTGAGCAAATAAGTTGAAATTTTTTGTTTTATCGTCTTCCATGTGCGCGCGCTTCGCTTCGTTAATTAAAACTTGACGAAAGCAAAATAATAATAAGACAAAATGAGAAAGACTCGCTGACTCATTGGGGTTGAGTATTTATCAAAAATCATTGGCAGCGATAGTGGGAGCGACAAAATTTCAAGCTCACGCATGTCCTCGTAGTTTTTTCTCGACAAACGACACGGAAAAGACGCATTAATAAATAAATTAAGTTAATAATAATTCAATGATATTTTTAATTTGCCCGTCCGCCTTGACTCTTTCGAGTCACGTATTATTACGCACTCGGTGCTCGACCGATCGTCTAGGAAGAAATAATGACGATTTATACAAACGCATTGTTCTAGCAATTTCATAGGGACAATAATATAAGGATGAGAGCGCTCGGCAAATCAACTAGACGATCAAGGAATTTATCGATCCATATTGTTTAGCACCGTCGAGCTTACATCCTAACTTTGAGTCGAGAGGCTGCTTTTCCATTACAATTAAACGGTCCAGCAGCGCGAGAATGTCTCAGTTTCCACGCACCAGTACTCCGGCATCGGAGAATGACGTAATTTGCGACTGACAGGAGGCGAGGGACGAGCGCCTCGTCATCTACGAAAGACAGTCTTCTACGAGGTTATACGTGGGTTAAACATCTTGATGTGCACGGATTCGATCGAAACTCGGCCGACGTCGTCAACAGTTAAAGTTGAGCGTTCGAGAGAGAGAGAGAGAGAGAGAGAGAGAGAGAGAGAGAGAGAGTATTACCACCCGAGGCCAATTGGTACTTTCATACTCGACATTCGGCCTATGACGTCTCTCACAATATTGTCCATCTCTTTGTGCTCTCTCCTATTCTTATTCAGCTTCCCTATTTTGCCTTTATTACGACGAGATTCGACGGGGCGTGAAAGTCGCAAAACCGATTTTGCCATTGATTGGCCGTTGATTTGGGCAAAAAAAAAAAAAAAAAAAACACACACACACACACACACACACAAACAAATAAGAAAGGTAAAACTTCTTATCGACGTTATCGTTGAAAAAAAATCTTTAAGCTATTGATTCGGCAGGAAAAAACGGCAGAATCGAGCGCCGCAGGAGAGCATTATATCGTGAATAAAAGTGTTACGCATCTTTTTATCGAAACTTTTTCATTCGTCGAGTTGGCTACTTCACATTCAAATGGATTTTCCATTTCCATCTTGTGCAAATAACTCATAATTCATTCAATTGCAAGCCTCCGTGTTTGCAAGCTTTTAAAAAAACGGATGGAAATTGTCGGTTGACGAGCAAACATTTCCTAATTTATCGTTTATCTATTTCTCCTCTTATAACTTTGTCGATACGAGAAAGCAGATAAAAAAAAAAAATTTCTACCTGAGCTTTATTTTTAGATTCTAGTTAAGCTTCGAAGGAAAGAACAAATTAACGGATTGTGCAACTTTCTATATGTAAGATTTGGAAATTTATTTCTCAAGTATAAAAGAATTTTTTCTTTTTTTTTTTTACAATTGAGTGTATGAACCAATTTTCTTGGAATTCTTGGGACATAAATGAATGAGAGATGAGTTATTATTCCAACTGCCCGATATGTTATTTTGTTAATTTTCCTCTCGGAATATCTACATTTTGCGATAGACGATAACATTGTCGCACATTTTTGTTGCAATTTCTGTAATGTCTTGCTCATTTCGTAAATTGTTGATTTTTCCCGCGACTATTATTAACGCCAACGCGCACGCGATAATATTATTTAGGCACTTGGAATTGATTTACTTTCGCGTATCATTCAATGATAAATTAAGTGCCGAATATTTAAATGTCCTTGCTACATATTTTTTTTTTTTACTGTTTCCTGTTTAATATTTTTTTTTTTTTTTTTTTTTTTTTTTTTTTTTTATAAATAAAAACGAATTTACGAAATTTCAGTCATTTTGGTCAATGTATTTCATAATCTCAAACAAAGTTCCAATGTTTAAAAAAAAAAACAAAACAAGATAGAAAAAAGAATTGCATGTTTATGGAAATATGGAGGTTTGAAAAGTGAGTTTGGTCGTACAGGATCGATCGATCGATCGATCGATCTGTTAATTTTTTTTATCGATATTTCGATATCTATGATAGATTATTTTCAGTTGCATTTGTATGCAAATGTTTATTTTATTTTTTTTTTTTTTACGATATATAAAATTTGATGCCATTCCGCGTCATAGGCGATATCTTGTAAAGCGTTTAACGTGACGTCTCTATTTTATATTTTATCGTCCGAGACTTGAATTTAATAACTGAAATGTCAACTCTAACGTGTGAGGTGAGATGGTCACAATATTGCAACTGGAACCGCTGCTGCATTTTTGTCATTATTAATGTTCACTTAAAAAGAAACTTTTAATTAATAATTTTAAATCATCATAGCTTTTAAAATCGGTCTTTTAAAAACAATAATCAAGTTTCAACTTAAGTCTGGATAAGAATATAACAAGACAGCGGCGTCGTGCACTGCGATTTTATAAAGAAAACTGTTGGCGAGGCAATATTATTTCAGAATTTAATTTATATTTTAATATTGTCAACTAAGTTAAAGGAGCGCGTTAGTGGTGGCAGCGGAGTTGAAGGATTTTTTTAATTTCGCGTCACCTGCATTTATTGTCGATTACTGTCTGAGCACATATAATTCATAGCTTAGAGGGGCACATCGTGGATGTGATAAATTTATTGTCGAAATCGCTAAATGAAAGTATATTAAAAGCGTCAAAAAGTTTTGAGAAACAAAATTGTATAAAGCGAATGAGAATCGTCGAGTTGGTTGAAACATTGACTTGTTTGCCGAGGGACGACTACATTTTAGAAATGTGATTAATTCATCGGCGTGCCTCTTTCTCTTTTTATTTTTTTTTTTTATTTTTTTTATTTTTTATTTTTATTTTTTTTTTTTTTAGCGATAACAAAAACTTGAGTCGCCAAATGATGCAAATAATCCAAATAATGCATCAGGCAACATTACGAAGGCCACAAATTGCAATATAATTCGTGACAGTGTGTGCGCGCGTGTGTACAAATATCGTAAACAACATTCGAGAATTACGAATTGACAAATTTTTAACTTTCAAATGCATCTCAAAGTGCATCCGCGTAAGCGTTTGTTAGGCGACGAGGTGATCGGGCATTATGCGCGACAAATTTCACGTCGATGACTACTTCGAACGACATTCCATCGGGCGTTAATGTATCGCATAATGCGAGCTCGCTCGAGAGCCAGTGAATGCTTGAGTCGCGAGGGGATTGCGTTTGAAAGCAGGAGGAGGGATAAATTTGAGAGGGGTAGCGAGAGGGTACGGTGACGTCCTTCCGAATCTCGTAATTAGTATCCAGAGGCCAAGTGCCGGTGATGCGAGCGTACTTTTGTTTTATTAGGGATCGAGGGGGTGGCGACAAATCAGCGGGTGAGGAAGCCTAACGAGCCCGAGGAATCATATCGCGAGGTCACACGGCTCGTCGTCGAGGGATTTTTCATCGATAAGGAGCCGAAAAGCGACGCGCATCCTACTCGGTAATAATTGGTCCCTGATACTCGGTCAAGAGCCGCCATCGCTCTTGGCCCGTAGCCCTGGCTGCGTGCGCACGCCTCTCCTCTCGCCGCCCCCGACGCGACGTGGAGGTTTGGACTGCCGAGACACGGCGGGGTAGAGAGCAGCAACCCCTGACCGATCCAGGCTCGACGCCACTGCCAGCCAGTCGCTCCGAGGGTTCAACGAACCCTCTCCGACGTCCCCGCTCCGATGAGCAGCGCGTCCCCCGGTACTGGCGCAGACTGCGCGCCTCCCCCTCGCCGCCAATCCCGCCGTCGATCCCCGCCGGCCCCGGCGCCCTGTTCGTCCTCCCTATCCTCCCCGGCGTTCGGGCGGCCAAATTAAACGATCCGAAAAAATCGATGACTATTAAACGAATGCGGATGCTGCCGGCGACGACGCAGCTACCGAATTTACCGAACTTCTCCCCCTTTCTACCGGTGGCGGATATTCGCGTTTCTGCCCGATCGAAGGGAAATCGGGACACCGAAGGCAATGGCACCTATCACGCGTTCCGGTAAAGCGGATTTATTTCAAGACATCCTGTCGCCCCGTTTATCGGGTGCAAGCCATCAGCGAGAGAACGCAGCATTGTTTCCTTTTTGATTTTTTCTTTTTTTTTTTACACGTTTTTTTCCGCCTCCTTTCCTTTTTAAACGTTTCGTTTTTCCAAGACAGAACGGCAATGTGGACGA